CCTTCATCTTTTCTGGATTTCAGCACTTCCCATTTCTTCCAGTGCATTCCCCTCGTTGAGGTATTTTGTTTCCACCAGAACGACGCAATTCTTTTTTCAATGGCATTGCAGATAGAGTTGGGAATTTTAAAGATTGACATAGCATATTGAGGTAGGGCTTGCACCACGCTTTTTATCAAGATTTCTTTACCTGCTTTTGACAAAGTCTTTTCTTTCCATCCCTCTAACTTCATATTCACTCTTGCTAAAATCCAAGCAAACATCTCCTTCTTCGATTTACCCCATTCGGATGGAATGCCGAGGTATTTCCCTGTTTTTTCTATGATCGGAACTCTTAGCTCATGTGCCATATTCCTTTTGAGCATCGGTGGGCATCCATTGCTGAAATAAACTCCGGATTTATTCAGGTTAATGGCTTGGCCCGTTGCGAAGCAATACTGATTTAAAATAGTTGCCAGATTTTGGCATTCTCTGACTGTCCCATCCAGAAAAAATATAGCATCATCAGCGAACAATAGATGTGACAATGTAAGGCAATACCTGTTGAGTGTGATTCCTTTGAGATCCCCATCCTCAATGGCTTTGTGCATCATCCAAGAGAGAACATTTGCCATTAGAATAGATAGATATGGGGACAGTGGGTCTCCATGCTCGCTCTCAAGAAGTCCCATTCTACTCTATCATAAGCCTTCTGCATGTCCAATTTGAGGATAGCCTGAAAATTCTTCTTTCTTTTCTTTATCCTTAATTGGTGTAACACTTCCTGAACAATTAGAATGTTATCTTGTATCTGCCGTCCTTTGACAAAGGCACTTTGTTCTGTTGCTATTAACTCAGGAAGCCACAGTTTCAGCCTGTTAGCCAACACCTTAGATATGATCTTGTAGCTAAAGTTACAAAGGCTTATAGGTCTAAATTGGCTGATGCATTATGGATTTTTAATCTTTGGGATAAGTGAAATATGCATCTTGTTTAGGAGAGGGTCGATAGTACCTGATTCAAAGAAATTCTGAACCAAGTGGAACAAGTCCATCTTGATATCCTCCCAATAATGGTGAAAGAATTGGCCATTTAGCCCATCAGGTCCAGGGGCTTTTAATGCACCCAACTGAAAGATAGCATCTTTTACTTCCTCTAAGGTTAGGATTACCATCAAACTATCATTTATCTCGTCACTAACCAATCTGGGGCATCGGTCTAGAATAGGCTGAAAATTCCTCGGACCTATCGACTCATAGAGAGTTCGATAAAAGTTCGTTATATGTTGTTTGAGATCATTGGGATCCCTACTCCAGTTGTGTTCATCAATTTTCAGCATCGAAATCCTATTTCTCTGTCTTCGTTGCACCGTTGTGGCGTGAAAATACTTCGTGTTCCTGTTACCCCATTGGAGCCAATTAATCCGAGATCTCAGCCCAATCTCTTCTTGTCTCCATAGCTTTTCAATCTGATCCTCAATATCGTGGGTCTCCTCCTTCCAAGAAGTTCCAGATGCTCTATTGGTTATCTCCGTTAGCTTCCTTTTCAGCCCCCTGATTTGGTGCGACGCATTGGAGAATTTTCCTTTACTCCATAAAGCTAATTCCCTGGATATATCTTGGACTTTTTCTGAGAAGCTTCTGTAATTCAACGAGTGTTCCTGCCATGTACTTCTGATTATTTCTCCACATTCTTCATCATCTAACCAAAACGATTCAAACTTAAATGCTTTCTTCCTTTTGTTGTATGGTGGGTGTAGAGATAGCAGAAGTGGGCTGTGATCCGATCCTACCGCTAGTAGAGCTAAAACCTCTGCATTGGGAAAAGCAATCCTCCACTCCATTGTGCATAAAACTCTGTCCAATCTTTCTTTGACTAGGTCCTCTCCTCCTCTATTGTTAGCCCACGTGTATGCGCATCCCTTGCTCTCTATGTCCATTAGCGAACAATCATTTAAAAATTCACGGAAAGCACATATTCTGTGGTATTCTGCCTCTCTCCTACCAACCTTCTCCCAATTGTACAAGATTTCGTTAAAATCACCCATATAAATCCAAGGGAGTTGAATGTTTACCTGGGTGCATCGTACTTGTTGCCACAGAAGAAGTCTCTATCTAAAATTCGTAGGAGCATGAAGAAAAGTTATCCGCATTTGACTACCACTGGTTGGATCTTTGCATTCCACATCAATAAGATTTTTGGAACTAAGCAATACTTTTAAAGCAACATCTTCACTCCACATTAAAGCTAATCCCCCCGCAATACCTTCCGGTTGTTCTAAAAACGAGTTTGGGAACCTGAGACACCGTCTAACCCGTTCCACCAGCTGCTCCTTATTTTTTGTTTCCATTAAGAAAACCAGGTTGGGCCTTTCAAGAGCCACTAAGGCTCTCAGCTCTTGGAACGTCAAGGGATTGCCCAGCCCCTGACAGTTCCAGCTCATAATCCTCATATTGTCTCTGGTGGCTTATTAGGGCTAGCCACCAAAGCCCATTCTTTCCCTTCTTGCACCACCTGGATAGGGGTTTCCAAAAGCTCCATGTCTTGTAATATTGAAGAGCTAGAGCCTTCTAGCCTCTTCTTGTTTTTTGCCCTTTGAATTTTCTGCCCTTTCTTGTTGTTGAAAGTCGAAACCTTTGATATTCCAGAGTTAAGTGGTTCTAAAGCCATTAATTGTTTTCCATTGCCTTCCTTCTTTTCTAAAATTGCTGCTGAGTCTTCATAAGCTCCCTGAAGCGAGGGACTTTCTGCTCTTTTTTTGTTGCGAATGGGGGCTACAAACTGCTCTATTTCCCCCCTCACTATGTCCATTTCGGGCGATGAAATTGGTGTTTCAGGGACATACTCTTCTTCCTCATTGTTGGGGATTACCTGTCCATAAAAAGCTTCCTAGTGAGGGCTGCGATCACGCACTTCTGCTTTGAGCCAAGGGCCATATTTCCCTGTCCTATTTTCAGTCCACCTTGTTTGCTCGTAAGGAATTTCTTTGCAGTATGATGCATAATGGCCAATTCTCCCACATGAATAGCAGAAATGTGGAAGGCGTTCATACTTAAATTCCACCCATAGCTTTTTTTTCCCTAGATTCGCTATAGTTCCAGATTTCAGGGAAGCTAACAAATCCACTTCAACCTTCACCTTTCCTACTTTATAGGGTCCATTTCCTTTAGATTCTAACTGTATCTCCATCACCTTTCCCACCTTCTCAGTCAAGTGATAATAAACATCCTCCAGGATCCATCCAGGTGGGATTCCTAATAGTTGAACCCAGAACGCATACCGTGTAAAATCATAACAGTGGTCGGGAACATCCGGCTCACATTGTTTAAGAACAAGTAAATTGCTAGCAAAAGACCAAGGACCTGATTGTATCACCTTTTCTTTTTCGCTTTCAGAATCAAAGACAAATGAAAAGAAACCCGGTTCTTTTTGGTTGCAGACCACTGATTCGGTTTTCCACGCCTTCTTCATTGTGTTAAGGAAGGCTTGGAAATTTACATTGGGCTTCGAAAAAAGTTTACCATACAAAGTAAAGCTGCACTCCACTCGTTTTTCAAAAGGAATTTCCCATCTCAAATTCACTACATCATCCTTCGATCACAAGTGACCCAAACTTTTACACAAAGCAGCTAGGCGTAAGTCATTCTCCGTCTCACCTTCCATCTTACAATGTTGCAGGGACACTCCAAGGAGCTTGACTAGGGTGCGAAACAGGAAAAGAGACTCACGGCAGTCTACTGTAGCATACTCACCTGAGAGCCCACATATGGTAGAAGATCCAGCTTCCACATGATTGAGTTTCAGAGGTTTGGGAATGTTTAAGGTTAAAATAGATTGAAGGGAGCTCTGAGAACTTCTCTCGTTTGGTAGAGTTTCCTCTCTCTCATGGGTAGAGCTTCTTCTTCTATCCCTTCCATGGTGATAGTGATATCAAAACCCTAAAACCCCTTTTGATTTCGAGCTTCTTTCCTCCCTAATGGACAATCACTTCATCCCCATCTCAGATGCCGAGAGTTTTCTGCATCTCAAGCCTGCAATTCCTTGGCTCCACCTTTCGCCCAAACCCTAAAAATGTCACCAAACCCATTTTAGCCTTTCCACCTACACCAGTTATCCCTTACCCACTACCCTCGCTCGAACAGTGTTGTGCACCTACAAAAACCCTACCCATTAACAGCAACTCCCAGTAGTCTTTTTTCCTCCTTGCCTCTTTGCTGTTTTGTATAGTACAACTGGACTTATTGAGTTGCCGACTTAGTCGTCCAAGCCCACGCATCCAAGTCGAGCCCTCTTTATTGTTGCTTGCGGCCATGGACGACCCACCATCCAGAAGTTTGCAGGTTAGATATGGAGGGCACAAATCCATAGCTGGGCCAGCGACTTGATCAAGCTGAGCCACTCCTCCATCGTCCAAGCTCGCTAGATCCGTGGATGGGCCGCCTCGCGAGTCACAGACGAGGCCACATCTAGACGGGCAATGAGTGGGATGACCACGAGCAACGTAGCAAGGAGCGGCTCGGCTTGGAAGAATGAGAGGTGCTCCGCCGATGGCGACGGTGGGGGGAGCCACCGGTTCCATTGGACCACCTGCGACCGGACCAGTTTCAGGACCAAGTAGTCCAATTTCCGATTCCAAAAATTGGAAACTGTCCCCTTTGGTTCGATTCCCAATTCCTGAGTGGGAATTAAATCACCCGAAAACCGATCATTCCTTCAAGTTCAAAGACCAACTATGCAAAAAAAAATAATAAAAAATATATATTTTTTGTTTTGAGTTTGTAAAAAGAGAGGGGGGGTAAAAAAAGAAAAAGGTAAAAGAAAACAGACGTGTGGGCCCCGGGCTCGCAAAAGCCGACAGGCCCCAATAATCGGAAACGACAAGCTTCAGACACCTGCGACGATGTCGCCAACTTGCTTTCACATGTCGTTTCTGCGCCTCGGCACCGAAGTCCCCCGTCTCCTTCCCCCTTTAACGGTCATCTTTCTCGTCTTTCACTCGCAGTGTGTTCGTCCTCTCTTTTTCCCACTCACTTCCACTTCCACTCTCTCTCTCTCTCTCTCTCTCTCTCTCTAGAATTCTCCACGATGCACAGGCGCCTCTCCTCCCCCCTCGCCCTCCTCCTCCTCCTCCTCGCCGCCGCCCCCCCGGCGTCGCGCGCGGCGACGGCGGCGCCCGGCGTCGCCAGCCTGGAGCTGTGGTGCGTGGCCAAGAACAACGCCGACGACGCCTCGCTGCGGGCGGCGATCAGCTGGGCCTGCGGCCAGGGGGGCTCCGACTGCGGCCCGATCCAGCAGGGCGGGCCCTGCTACGACCCCGCCGACATCGAGACCACGGCGTCGTACGCGTTCAACGACTACTACTTGAAGCACGGCCTGACCGACGACAGCTGCGACTTCGCCAACGCGGCCGCCCTCACTTCGATCAATCCCAGTGAGTGCGGCGGTGTCTGTATTTGATCTGGGTTCTTTGCTAAGGGCGTTGGATCTGAAATGTGACCCGGTTTTTATCTATGCTTGATCTTTTGTATCTACTTATTAGTCATCTTCTTGCCAAATGGATCCAATGCAATCTGCTAAGAAGAAAACGAGCTTGCTTGTAAGTGCTGATATGATTCTGTCCTGACATGAGCTAATTCATTCTCGTTTGTGTTGTTTCAGGCCACGGCAATTGCAAGTTCCCCTCTAGGTAATTAAAGATTTGAACTTTCGTTTTAAAATTGCTGCATTCAAATGATAGTTTGTGGTTCAGTCTTTAGTTTATCTGTTCATTTGGTTTTGGCCCAATCTGATTGGTGGGAGTGTCTGATATTATGCACTTTTTAGATGGTTGGAATAGAGAAAACCAGGATTGAAGAATTTATAATTAGATAGGTCCAAATCAAGTCGGTAGTGGATGGAATGTTGGGATTCTTTTTAGTTTGGATTTAGCGCTAATTTAAGAGTCGAGGTTGTCTTATCCGACAGTATGTCGAATGTGGTGATTGTGGTACTTTGAAACCTCAGTTTGAAGAAGGAAATTGCTCTTGTAGGGCTTTCTTATTAAGTGATATCGATTAGCATCTTGAAGTAGATAAACTGAATACTCTCTCTTGTAAGTGTAGTTGCAGAAAAAAAGTAGAGTATGGCACTAATGAAAAACAACGGTTTTTATGTTTCTGTGGGACAGCTTGTCGGTAAACAATGGCAGTCTTTCCGGTGCATCAACGGCGGTTGGAGTTCAGCCTGCCTATAACGATTTGAGCGGCTGCAATCAGATTGCTATCCATTGGTATTCTTTCGTAATCATAAGCATTTGTTCGACACTGTTACACTGGTTTCTTAGTGAACATTGGTGATGAGAATATCTGCGAGTACTTCTTCGAAGCATAATGAAAAGTGCATCAGAGGATTGGCGTAGGTAAAGCATTTCCCTAATCTGGTATTCAATCAATATCTTCATTTAGGTTAGTGAGATTTTGTTCCCCTAGTATCGTTGTGTCACGGTGTATTCGATACCTGTAAAACATTAGTGAGGATGAAATCAGAGGCCTCTAACTGAGGTTGTAATTGCGGACACTGTTTTCTTCTTATTACTACATTAATCTAGGTAATAATCACTCAGAACATCGTTGATTAATGGCTATTGTTCCTGAGTTTCCAGGGATTGCATTACCATAGATCTTATTCACTTGAGTTCCTTGCATTCAAGCTCTACAGACATCTGTGTTCTCTCTGTTCTTCTCTCTTCGCTTATGCTGAAACTGAAAAGACTTGTCACAGAATCCTTCAAGGAACTTCCTTTGTTGCTGAGTTCCTTCTGCTTCTGTCCTTGTTCATGTTCCAATTTGACAGTTAAGTATTTGCTAATGCTTCGGTTGTTTTTGCGTGGATCTCCAGATTTTGGTTGAAAAAACTCACCTAGATCGAAGGTCGATACACTCACTTCAACCACCCCATTGTAAGAGTTATAATTCCAGCTAATAGTGAGGATCATATTAGGGGTAGGAGAAACAAAACTATCTCATGCTTCCAAATCCTTCATGTCATACTAATGCTCATTTAACTCTTTCAAGTCCCAAGCCAAAATCTACATTTTCCAACTCGATCAGGTGAAGGCATTCGCTGCCTTTGGAAGGTCCGTGTCATGCTAGTGTTATATGCCTTAGCTGCTTTCGCGTTGTTGATCTGGAAGCAACGGCCCTACCAGCCATGGGGGGAGCTCGATACAGTGTCGAGAGAGAGAGAGAGAGAGAGAGAGAGAGAGAGAGAGAGAGAGAGAGAGAGAGAGAGAGGACAAGGGGTTGTGCGACCTGGAACCATGGCAATGGCTGGGATTGAAGGCGACGGTGGCAGGAGGAGAGGCGTCTCTCATGGAGGCTAAGAGAGAAAGAGAGACGCGTGATAGAGGTGTGGTAGGAATTTTGTTGGATCAAGTACCAGAAATTTAAAACGTTCACCAGGGGAGATCTTTAAAATGGAGCTTAAGTCTTAGCCCATCAATGTATTTAGTTTGACTCTATCTTCACTGTAAAACTGAAGTCAATGCGTTATGAGCCAATTAAGACTATTAACTGCTTTATACCATACCAATTCTCCGATGTGAGACTTTTTCAACACAACTCACACATACATCTTAACATATTTCATTAATATGTTGGGAGGATTGAAATGAATAGGGCACGCGTTGCAATCTTATTAAGGAGGCAGCATATGTGACTTAAGTAGCATTCCGTGGTTGCAATCTACTATCGTATGATAGATTAGGTGTACGGCGTTTCATCACTAACGTAGACTCTGCGTTACATATCCTCGGACCAGTTGGATACGGTTCATGTGACTCGTACCGTGATCGGTTCTATCCTCCGTTCTTGCCTGGTACTTGCGTAAACCGTCTGAGGGATAAATTATCATCCCCTTCTCCGTCCTACAAGATAACCATGTCCCGGAAAAATGGATACTGAATTCAAGGTGATCCAATTTTGCGATCTCTGGGACTAAGAATCGAGAAGCTTTCTGTCCGTGATCGAGACAGAGATGCGTTCGGACAAAAGAAAAATACGTAGTTTAAAAACCTTCTTGGGCGTGGCTCCATGTGACCGAGATAACGTTGTTATTACTCCAGATTTGAATATTTTCTTGCCGTCATACGACGCAAGAGAATCAAAGGTTTAACTTCATCTTCCTCGTTAACAACTGTTTTTCCACGGTACAACACCTGTGAATCCTTCCTTCCTTCCTTCCTTCCCCCTCCTTTAATTTAAGACTAAAAAGAAAAGCTGGGAATCACCAGCTTTTGTCAATGGCTGACAACGGTGCTCCATATGGAGGGTTACCTAATGCCGTCACTATTGACAATCTTGCCAACGTTTAGGTCAACAAACACGAACTCCTCTTCGAGGCCAAGCAATGAAACATGGTCATCGAGCATCGTCATTCAAAGTTCGTTTGGTTTCAGGAAGAAAACATATAGACAAACTATCACACGTGTATAACTTTTAATTTAGCTGTACGAGCAGCAACAGTGCAAAATTTGAAAAAATCTCGGTTGAATTTTGGCAGATGAACCATTACCGATAGAATCATCATCAACACTGCCTCTCTATATCTCCCAAACCGTCTTCTGTCCCGCAAGACGGCATCCTCCTCGATGATCTCTCCCGGCTAAGCATCCGTCGGAACGAACCGAACCGTGAACTCGATCCGATGACCTTACCTGACGGTCTAACTGCCCCGTCCGATGTGCCCTCGGTGCACGATGATATGGAGCTCGTGCGCTCCAGGGGCGGAGCGGTGGGTGCAGCCCCGACGGGAGGCTGGGGCGGCTGTTCCTGCTGGACTCGCGGCTCGGCCTCGGTGCGGCAAATCGGGCACGTCGAGTGCGAGCTCAGCCACCTATCGATGCACTCGACGTGGAACGTGTGCTTGCAGTTCGGCAATTCCCTGGCCATCTCGCCGTCCTCCAACGCGCTCAAACAGACCGCGCATTCCTCTGCCGTCACGCTCACGGCCTCGTCCTGCGCCTCGGCCTGCCGGAAGACGAACATGGGCAGGGAAGCAATGACCAGCGGGTCGAGCCCAGACTTGGGCGGTTCCTCCCTAGGGTGCACGTGGACCACGGTTAGGCCGAGGTCGCGGATGGCGGCCCGGCGACGGGCCTGGCGGCGCAGGACGTACCGAGCGTATATGTGGAGGAGGACGACGAGGAGGACAACGACCGAGAGCGAGATGATCGCGGTGAGCATGATCTTGCTGTTGAGGTCATAGCTCTTCTTTTCCGCGTGCCATTGTTGGTTTGGTTCATCATGATGATGATCAGAATCCATGTTTGTGCGGTGAGATTGCACAAACGGAGGAGGGATGGAGAAGAAGAAGAAGAAGAAGGGAAATGGAGGAGAAATAGAGAAGAAGGCGTTGGTGTGTGATTTGGTTGTGAACTGAAGCTGGTGATTTGTCTAGCTTGCTGCGCTTGACTTGTGGAATGCGTACACTTGGAAGAGCCTCGATTTTCAATGGGGTTGACTGTTGAATGTTGACTTGCTCCTTCAGTTTTTGATTTTTGATTTTTTTTTAGAAATTTCTTTTTCTGTATATTTTTCCTGGGTAAATGTTGAAAATGAAGTTTCTCATTGTTTATGTTTCGGGGGTGTCGTTTTACATGCTACGTGGTTGCTGATTGGTGTGAAAGCCGATTAAAGAATTGAGGAAAGTCTGCAAAAATCTAATTGCTCAATAGTAGACTGCTATTGTGCAACTTTTGTAGTGTGAAATAAGTTCAGAGATTTGTATTTTTCCTCACGTTGAATATTAAACGCGGCGTAGGATACTTTAATATCCTCTTTAATGTGCAAATCGGATTAAGAGTGGCATATACGGGAAATAAATTTCGAGTAGAACCTTTGTATAGTGTTCGAATATCCAACCCGAAAACTTAAAGTTAATTGGGTGCTCCACATGAGAAATGAACGGGTCCTTTGAACAGTTGGCCACGAGCATTATTTGGTCGCGGCACCACCTTGTTAGCCCTATTCGAGCTTCTCTAGACCGAGCCGCTTCGAACACGTCTTGAGTCTGTTACAAATCTTGCTCCATGGAAGGTCAAGATGCCTCGTGACGACGGAAAGCTGTGTACAAGGCCTACGTGCTCGATCTTCGTCAACAAGACAGTTGCTTCTATTGCCATCGACATCGGACATGCATGGATCCGCTCTCCAGCAATCTTGCCGGCTTTGATACCATATGATTTTGTGGAAATGTAAATAACATGAATCATGAATTGGAAACATGCAGAAGGTGCGCCGCACTCGAGGCGCCCGAGATAACCTCTCAAAATTCAAGGTATAATTACCAAAAAAGTCCCAAACCTATTGTACTTGCATCAATTCAGTCCTAAATTTTTTAATTTGGCCAATTTAGTCTTAAAACTTTTGACAATTTGTTAATGTAGTCTATCTGATCGGAAATTACTGACTTGAACACAGGCATTGACATGAACAATTTTTTCTTAATTTTTAAATTTTTTTCCCTAATTAATTAATTAATTATTTCCTTTCTTTTTTTTTTCTTTTCTTTTTTCACTGTGATCGTGCGTGGGTCGCCGGAGCTAGCTGGCCAGCTGCCCTCACCCGACCTTGCCCTAAATCTGGGCGAGGCTAGCCTTGCCATGGCCTCGTTGACCACGGGTGGGGAAAGGCAACCTTAGCCGTGGCCGCGATGTTCTAGGTGAGGCCGCCTTGCTCAGATTTGGGCCAGGCCACCCTTGCCGTGGTCTCGCCTGTTGCGGGCGAGGTCCACGAAGCCCCTGCATGGATCTTGCCCGCAACAAGCGAGGCCACAGAGGACCTCGTGGACCTTGCCCAGTGGCCTACGAGCTCTGGTGATCCTCACCGACCACAGTGAAAAAAAAAAGAAGGAAAAGAGAAGAGAAGAAAAATAATAATTTAGAAATTATTAAAATATTTATTCACGTTAGCGTCGGCGGTGCCACGTAGGACGATCACTATCCACATCAGCCGTTTTCAGCTAAAACTGGTCGAATGGACTATATTGGCAAATTGTCAAAAGTTTTAGGACTAAATTCGCCAAATTGAAAGATCTAGGACTAAATTGGTGCAAGTACAATAAGTTTATGATTTTTTTTTGGTAATTTTCCTCTAAATTTAATATCAAAAGGTCCTCACAAAAGAGGGCAGAACGAATTTTAAATAGCCTAAAATCCTACCAAAAAACATTCCTAATAACAGGTAATTAGGAATTGCTCAAACTTATAAGAGTCATATCCCAATTTCTAAAATCTTATAAACAAAAAAAAAAACTGAAATCAAATCAAATCATAACCTTCCAAGTTATCACCTCCTGCGTCCACATATAGGCTCAAAGCCAAGTTTGGAATGTCACCCGATCTAACGTTTTTTAAACACCCAAAAGTGGGAAAGAACGTGAAAAATCTAACTCGCGTTGGAATTGTAGGCAACCAAAGAGTGGCGTACCAAACACTGAAAATTCCAGAATAAAATCTTTAATGTTCCACAAGATCGAAAATAGTATGCAATTTTGACGGAGGAAAAGGAAAAAAAAAAAATACAAAGGTCGCTTTCTTCCTTGTGATCGATCTTATGAGAAAACTCTTTTTAAGAGTTTCTTTCTTTCGGTCGAAAAACTCCTTTAAGAGTTGGATAACGACTTCCTTTTAAGGTTTTGTTTGTTTTGTTAAAAAAAATGGTTTGTACATTATTTTCATAAAAATGATCGCTTCTTTCTTTTGCAAAAATGAATGAACGGAAAATATTTTCATCGTTTACGAAAAAATCCAGACATTAATGAAAACATTTTTCATTGACTTATTATTTTAAGTGAAATAATAGGCCATTTTAAAAATTTTTTTTTTTCTAATCATTCATCTTTCGTGAAACAAATAGAACCTAAGAATCCAAAGTTTTTCATTCTTTCTTTTTTCTTTCTTTCATCGTACTGTTTTTATTACTAATGTTCAAATTGTTTGAATCGCAAAAGTTGCAAAAAGAAAAAAAAAAAGAAAAAAACCAACTCCATGTTGCACTTCACTTACTTAATTATCATAAAAGAATACCTATTCCTATAAAAGAAATTAAGGGATTTCCTCCAAAAGAATGAATTGTAACTTCTCCAAATCTAATTTTCCTCCTTTTTTCAAATTTTTTTAATTAAGGACGTTCTAGACGCAATACTATAACCTAAGCAAATGAAATGGTGCTAAATTCAACTCGTGGGGACAAAACTGATGTATTTATTCCATGCCAAAAATGTCAAGCATATCACATCCAATAAAGTGGAATGAGAACATACCGTAAACTCCTGGGAATGTCCTCTGATTTCTTGGAGGACTGTGTTGCGTCGATGACTTTGTCATTGATCATGACTGAACAAGACATGCATCATTCCTCCCGAAAGCAATGAAGTCATGTCTGAAGATTTTTTTGGCCCACCTCGTTTTCTAACTTATTGCTGCCTTTTGATTATGTCCAGGGACATCCGCCTCCATGAATTAGTTTTGGCTCCCTGAAATACTCCACCGACCATGTGAATCGAATAAGATTTGAATTCTGTGTGGTCCGTCGGTCGATTAGAACCGGCAGTTCGCATTTACTTATCAAATTCGCCTTATGAATTAGCATCAAGCTGTGTTATTGACGACTATCTACTCGCCGATGCGATGCCCTTGTGTACACATAATGGATTATAGATGATGCAGAACATGGGTTTTTTGTGTGGAAATCGGATCGAATAATCTTAAACGATTAAAGGAGCAGTTTTTTCAAGATTTGGGTTGTTAATTAAGGAGGCAATTCAATCAGTAGGCCCATGCAACCAAATGATTTCTCATTCTTGGGGGGGCTCGACACTATTTGAGATTATTGGGCCGAGCCAAATATGGCGGCCCAAGTTCAAAACCCAACGGGCCTTGTTGTCTAGTCCACAAGCAAGTCGAGTAGTGGGATGATTCACAATGATAAACTCCCTCCCCTTTATAACTTGGCATTTCGAATAGGTATCTTATGATATCTGCTTGATTTGCTTGGTGTCTAAAGATGATGGATTTCAGCATAACCAAACATGCTCAGTCTTGTAATGTGTATACAAAAACTCACTCTAGGAGAATTGAGGATGATTTTGAGTAACCATCTCATCTCAATTGGGTCAAAGCTTAACTTTGTCGTGATGTCCCTACCATTCATGTATGCGCTAGCCCGATATTCCATCCATCGACTGAAGTGTGGTAAAGGTCTCTTTTGTGTTGATTCCCAATAGTTTGACTAGTTTTAGCCCTTGTACTAACCAAGTGCATTATGAAGTCATCCTTAGGAATGTGAGCCAAGATCGGCATCATTTTTTGATGCGAACTCCATTTTTCCCGGATTTTGGCACTCGTTGCAAATTGCCCCCTGATTTTTTTAATTTTTGCAACGTCCCCTCTAGATTCTTCAAATTGGTTGCAATGTCCGCCCGGCCATTGACTCCTAACATTTTTCAGTTGGAACTCCGACCATGTGCTTGTCACGTGACAAATTTGCTATCCTATGGAGAGTAAATCTGGCTGACAACAAATGGCAAATTACATATTACCTCCCAATTTTGGCACATGTGGCTAGTTGCCCCATGACTTTTCAATTGTTTTCAATGATCCTCCTAGAGTTTTAAAATGAGTTTCAATTCACCATTGAGGGTGATCTTGACCAATTTCTTGATCTAATCTCCACTAGAGATCGAATTAGGCTACCTAAGCAAGGGTCGTCCTACCCTCTTTTAGTATGCTTGTGGTTGTGTCGAAACCTCTACCGGCGGTGTGGCGGTGGTAGACCGCCTCTCTCTCTCTCTCTCTCTCTTCTCTCTCTCTCTCTATCTCTCTCTCATCTTTATTAGTAATAGGAATTATAAAATCATTTCTTCTTATAATGAATATTTTGTTCACACAAAAATTCATAGAAGTGAAATATTGTTAATTATTTGATATTTTAGTAATAAAACTTGGCAAAACGTCACGATGCATTAACATTTGATACTCGTATTATGTTTCTTATAAAATGATGTCAGCGCTAAAGTATTGTACTTTTTATTTAACAAGAGAAAAAACAGTTTCTGCTAATAAACCTAATGTGCAAAATCCTATGGCGTCTTAATCAATATAAAATAAAAAGTTTGCTAATTTGATCGATTTCTTTTAAAAGTATGAGCTAGATTTGAAAAATTATAAAAATGTTGGTCTTGTATGAAATTGGCCAAAGTCAACACTAGGGGATATTGTAACCGATTTCATGACTTTAGTGAAGAAATTGCAAACATTAAATTGGAGGGGTTGCCTTATAACAAGTGCCACAACTTGACAAGCCAAATGCAGTTCACTTTTCTTGTTAGATAGATTTGCCCTCTGTTAAAGGAGCTACAATTAGTCACGTGACAAAGCGCATGACAGAGGTCCGGTTGGAAAACGGGCGTTGTCAACACTAAAGGGGACCATGCAACCGACTCCAAGGGTTTGGCATATCGCATCGAAAAGTCTGGGGGCAATTTGCAACAAATCCCAAAATCTGGGGTGACAAAATGTAATTCACTCCATACTTTGGTATATGCCATAGATGAAGAAAGATTCCGGATGATTATTGGCTTAATCTGTTCCGTTTCCAAGAGATTGGCTAATACTACTTTGCACTGCTGCTTGATTCCAGCTTATAAAAAAACGTGAGGACCATCTTCTTGTTCATAGAATTCGAATAGAATAAATGATTTTTATTCTGCAAATATCCTGTGAAAAGTTCATATATGAGATGCGCGCGTTTCATTGACTCTACTTCCAAAAGTACCTTCTATAGTACACATGACATCTATTCATCTAAACCAGTCAGTAATAAACGAAATTTTATCAGAACTAATAGAAAATTTTTCACTAATACTGGCGCAGAAAAGTTCTCTTACCATGCAGTAATGACAAATACTGCTTCATCCAAAGACTGCAACGTGAACTTGATTTTCCATAATGAGGAAAACCTAGGCTTTATATTATACATATACATATCTACAAGAAAGAGACATTGAAGGTATATATGCCAGTTGAGCATAATTATCGTATTTGCCATATGGTTCCTAATCAGAAACATATTGCCATAATAAATATGGACGGTTTAAACCGCCAAGTTAGCCACTCCACATCGAATTAATTAATCATTGACTGCTCTTCACACGCATCCCAAACATATAGTGCCTGTGCATTCAGGAATGCATCCAAACAAAGTAGTTATTGCGTGTTATCATGATAACATCACCCTAAATTTGAAAATTAGAAAAAAGTGAGTATAGATTAACTTTTTTATTTGATAGTACACTGGCTTTGCTGCACCATATGGTAAAAAAGAAAGCTACTTCATATTCAAAACAGTTTCTCCACGAAAAGGTAGATCAATGCTTTAAGAGATCCCAGCATTGTAGCCATCAAAACACAAGGCTTCACTGTGTTGTTCTTGCAAAACATAACATGAAAAAGCAAAGTTCAACTCGTGTATCATTTGCACCTGAGTCCCCAAAAGACCACCCAACTTCTGAGATCTTCCTGAGTATAACATCTCCATCAAATGGATCATACCAAGCTTTTTGAGCTAAGTATATGACTATACCTGGGGAAGTTACTCTTTTTTCTGCTTCAAAAAGTGAGCCCCTTAGGAAAGATACAAAACTCTACCCAATATTAACAAATTCAAATGAAGAGTCACCAACGGTTGTCTCTTGCCTGCAACTGGGCTTACTTTGTCCAAAAATGGAGGGTGATTGTTATCTTTCTTTTCCATTTGAGTGAATTACTTAAGACAAGACATGAAGACGGCACGAGAAGAGAATATTCTCACTTAACAAGAATCTGTGTAAGTGTAATCACCATTCAAAAGTTTTTGAGCTCTTTCTAGGTGAGCTCAGCACGCAGATCAAAACACATTCCAGAAGACAAATCAAGCTGATGCAAGAAAACCTACTTAACCATTTGCAACAAAATTAATATATTATGGTATAACTGGGGAACTGATTTGAGAAAAGACCCTCTAGACGATTGAAACAAGCCTGATATGATCTTCTCCAAAGGGTAGAGAAATTGACTTGACGAGAATTTCCTCTCTTGTTTCGTCAACATTTGGACTGCTTCTACAGCTCCCATCGCCAAATTCCTATTTAAGAAGGAAAATAAATTTGGTTGACAAAGAATGCAGTTCTTAGAATCCATGTCTTTCTTCGAGTTCGTTAAGTGTTATTTTAATTCCGAAGCATATGGTCTACAATAAGTCATTTGATGGAAACAAAAAGAAAAGATATGGGCACATAACAGATATAAACGAAGTTAACAGAAACTGATAATTTAAGATTAGGTACCTCAGGAGTGATAAAGATGAGGACTTCCTCTCTTCAATTAACGACCATTACTCAGAGAAGCAGAAGATGATGGCCTCGCGGAAATGACTTCGTGCGGTGCCCCGTCGTTCTGAATTTGCGAAGAAATGCAAAACCCCGGCAGTCCATCGGAGACGAACCTGTTGCCGAAGAGCAAAGACGGATGATGGATGACCTGCGACTTGTGATGGTCAGCCGAGGCCAGAGAAAACTCGTCAAGAGAGCGAAAAGTCGGTGCGAAACTGGACTGAAGGGTTCCCCTTTGTGGAAACACCGCCGAGCCTTGGCTGAGCAGCGGCGAAGGCAGCGTCGATGGCGTTGGCGAGTTGAACAGAAACCTGCCACTGCTCCGGTTGTCCGTGCTGGCTGGATCGGTGCTCCAACCCATCATTCTCTGAAACCCGGGTTCAAACACCATTGGCGCTGAAGTCGAGAAAAGGGTTTGGCTCATTTCATTCTCTTGCGGATCGCTATGGTGAGCTAGAGCAGATTGAGACTGAAGAGAGTGTAGGGAAAGGCCAAGGTCTTGGTTCTGCTGGTTGCTCCTCGACATAATCTCGGCTGGGTAGCTGCTGAAATTGATGGATGACGCGGCCGAGCTCGTCGGGAAGAACGACCTAATCGTCTCCAACATGGACTGATCGTTGTCCAGCTGCGGTGGCAAGAATTGGCTTGTTGCGTTTCTTGAATTGGCACTGATTTGCCTATGGAGCTGAAAATTGTACTCGGGAGACTCTGATTCCTCCGCAACCGCCATCTCGGCCGAATTACCATTGTGTGCTATGCTGTCTGGGGCAGTGGTGGCGGGAGGGACAGAGCCAGAGTTCGGCTGCCAAGGCGGCAGCTCGGCGAGCTTGTCGATGGACGCCTTCGCCTTCTTCATGAGCCAGTCCACGGCCTTGCTGGGCCGGTCGTAGCCAAGCCGGTCTTGGACATCATAAAATTGAATCGCGGTGTGAGCCGACAACCGGACACGGCGGTCCCGGGGGCCTTTCGCAGTGTAAACCTTGCTGTGGCGGTCCTTTCGGCCGGTCGCCCGAACTATGTGGCCTCCCTGGACCTGGACAATCTCTCCTTCCGTGCTCTTCATTCCCATTTCACAGTTTTGGAGCTTTATGCATAATTTAAGATAAAGAAGGGTCCTGAGAAAAGAATACACCCCCTTCCTTTTGGCTGATTCTTCTCCTTCCGAATGGATGAAGGGGCCTTAATGGGATTTACAAGGCCTTGCCTGCGTTTGGTGTTATGTCTGTGGTTCTCTCTAGGGTTATTAATTTTGATGGATAAGCTGTGTGTGTCTGGAAGATTCAGATCCTCCTTGGCCTCCTTCTGATCTTGTCTCTGGCAAAGAGAGAGAGAAAGAAGAAAAGCAAAGAAACAAAAGATCCCAACTTGAAGCAGCTTCCGTGTACTATCTCTTCTTCTCTTCGCTTTTGTGGGTTTTCTTTGTTGGTTTGCTCTCTTGTTGCTCTCCAGTCACCTGCAAACTGCAACCACCACTCTTCAAAGCTGATCATTACTGACCTTGCTGCTTCTGTGTTTCTTGTGTATCGGATCCCAAGAAAACCCCTGTCATTGCACTTTCTGCCCTAGATCCAAGACTCTCTCCTTCACTCTCTATCTCTCTAGCGCTGGCTCTCTGGTGATATTAATGATTCATCCACCTCGAGTAATCAGAGGGGAGGCAGGTGGGGGGATCTGAAGGGTGCCTCTCAAGAACAGGCACGATTAGAAGAGGAAACAATTAGCTAGGACATATGGAAGCTGCTTGGTACGGCTGAAGACATATGCATAATCGCGTATATAAAGCAAAATGTCTTGCATGCTTATCTCATAGAAATTTGGAATGAGATTGGGAAAGGTGAAAAGACTTAGACCCCATGCTGAAGAAGAAAGATTTTGGAGAAATAGGAAAAGAAAAAGGAGGAAAAGCGAAATGTGTGTGTTTTTTGTAAGGATATGGTGAGTGGGAAAACCTCGAGGGGCCTTTGATATTAAGAGGTGTTGGATGCTTCTGCAGAGAGTGTAGCAAAGTTAGGTCAGGGAGCAGAATTTAAAAATCTGTGTCGTCATGCAAAATCTCCCCCATCAAAATGCATTAAATTTCCAGATGCTTATGAATTATATTTCATAAAGAAATTTCGATTTTCGCAGCGTTATTCAAACATAACTCACGAAAAATTATACGTTGGAAATTACAATGTTTGTTCTATTTGACTCCTTAATAAGTTTCAGTGATACCGATTGATAAAGTCCCAAAGGTATGCTCACTCGGGGGCATGTAGCTCACAAATTGAAGAGGTTTTTAGTCGCCAAAGTATTAAAACAATGAAGAGTATTCGGACATTGACTGGTTTCTTGAGCATCCTCTGCTAATGATCTGTCACAATCACGTATCCCTTGATTTGATGCTACATAATCTAATGATGATTTTTTAGAGAGATAAGATTTGAGAAAATTATCCAATCAATCATAAACATATTATACGGACGCCAATTCAGTCATCAACTTTCTAATTTTGCTAATTTAGTCATAAACCTTTGCGCGAAATTCCAATGTAATTCTTCCGATAAATTTTCGCAAGAAATTGCTAACGTGTGGTGTGTCACGTAAGATGGCTGGTGATGACTGGATTGTTACACCAACGATTAGGAAAAAATGGATCGAAAGGACTGTATTATAATTTAACGCAATAGTTTAGGATTAAATTAGCAAAATTGAAAATTTTAGGATTGAATTAGCATACGTACAATAGGTTTAGAACTAACCGGGTAATTTACACGATAAAATTTGTACTAGTAAGATCTTGATAAAGTTGAGCCAAATGGATAACACAATTGCGTGTGGGACGGGAAGATCGTATACTTTACGCAACCACGATATTAGTATTCAATCAAAAAAAGATTATAGCAAATACAGATTACATAAATCCAACCGATCGAGTGAAGAAAAAAAATATTTCGGGCTGTGTGTTTCTTTTAAGAACGAGTTTTCTTGATATGTGATTGTCCGGGTCTAGTTTGATAATTCATTCGTTTACTCTTTTTTGGTGAATAATAGGCTATGATAAGGATGTAACAAGAGAAAAAATATCTCATCACACCAAATCTAGAAGAAAACATATGAGTCAAACTCGAAAGAGCGAGGAATTAATCTCTATAAATCTTAACCGGTGGACACCCGTCTATGATCGTAGATATGATGCCTATAGCTAGCTTTATCACCAAACTTGTCATGCACTAAAGTTGACATTCATACATACATGGGTGTAAGCAAAGAGAGCACCTCTTCTTGTTTTTCGCCTTCTTTTTCCCAAAAACCCTTGCATAAAAGTTGCTAGCGAATCATTAGTTGGAGCATGAAAGATGCGAAAGATGACTTCGATGCCGTAATAAGAATTCGAATGCGCAGACCTATCATGGCATCGGCGCTATTCATAAAAAGAGACTGCAGGTTTATGAATTCTATTACAATCTCGTAATTAAGCAATGCGAGATATATTTTAGCACCATATGTTTAAGGTTGTACTAAGGCTATGAACAAGTATCGGGTCTTCCCAAATAGCTTTAAGTGCTTGCCGACCAATCACAACAATCCATATTGCTAGACAAGTAATGAGATTTATATAAAATAAAGTAGATCGGTAATATTTTGATTAGTCTTAAAGTTTCTAAACATTTACTCTTGAAAAGATTTAGAGATCCATTTGTTTGAAGGAAAACTGTTTTGGGGAAATTGTTTTCTAATTTTCTGGTGTTTGGATAACGGAAAACTAATCGATTTATAGAAAATTTTTTCCATGAAATGAAAATAATAAGCTTAAATTCAGGAGAAAAAACTTCCCGTTCTAGTAAGAAGGAAATCACTTTTCCTAAGCAGTCATACAAATAAAAACTAACAATTTTCCTTGAAAATAATATTTATGAAAGATATTTTCCTTTATCATTAAATTTTCAATGAAACAAGCGCGACATAAATATTTATTCGTGTACAATGAAAACTCCTTAACTGTGAGGGGTTGTTGCCCTAGCTCTAAAGAAAAGGGGAAGCTCGTGGCCACCCCCCTCTTTCCCCCCCTCTCTCTCTCTCTCCTGTAATTTTTTCCACTGGTATTAATAATAGAATTAATGTGCCATTAATATCAATATTAAGCTATGATTAGGGTCATGGCTAAGCTAATAACTTAGGCACAAGCTCTACCACCCACCCGGAAGCTTAGAAAACAATATCTACACAGCTTTTTTATCGCCTTTCCTCTCTGTACTTCTTATTGCCACCAACACCAAGAGTCGGTCCACTATCACAAAAAGAGAAGCTCTAAACTAACTGGTGACTAGGGTTTCACAAAACAGTGATAGCAAAAAAAAAAAAAATACAAAAAAAAAAAGATGATTTCACAAAATAGAAAAGGGCAAAACATGCTCCCTCCTGCAAAGTGCACGCATCCCTTTGAACCCCTTCTTTTCTGACCATCAATCATTTCTTTTTTTCCAATAACATCAATCAACGCGCCAAAAAAAAAAAAAACAAAAGTTGTACCAAATTTAATAATAATAAAGCAGCAGTACCACATTGGATGAATATGACATGATAATAAACAATTTTTTCCATTGCTCAGGCACAAAAGTGGAACTGCACATTCCACATGGGGTTGCCAATTTTTTATTTATTTATTTTCCCCATCTTCCTATTGGTATAGCTAATTTCATAATAGTCTAGCTTTTTGATAAAATATATTGAACAAACATAGATACATCTTTTCATTCGAATCTCATCTTTTAATAAAATGATATTGAATAAACATAGATGCATCGCTTCATTCGAATCTCGTCTTTTGTATTTGCTTTTGTCCGAATTATACCTGGCTGCCTCCTAGTTGGGAACTCGAGAGACAGGCTCATTTGATTGAGAGTCAGGTCTAAAGCCCTCTTTTAGGGCAATTATTTTATGTGTGTCAGCGATGGGATTGATTAAAGGGAGCGATGGCACTCTACCTCGTTGGAACCAATTATTGAAGTTTGAACTTTGGAGGGGGGGTTTCTACTAGCAATTGGCCTGAATTTAAATCAATATTTATGTGTATGTATATTTATAAGCGTACTGTCAGATTGATGTGGGTAGGTAGCATGTAATAAACAATATATTAGGGCCTGTGTTCTAATACAAAATTTTAAATCAATGTCATGCTATCATAGTGGTTTGTAGGTTAGCATGTAATCAACCGTATAATTATGGACCGGGGTCCTACATTAATGATAGCGAGCTGGCAATTCGAACACTCAGATTGACACTTTAGTATTTTGTTGGATAATGACACCGCAAATACATGAGTTGTCGTCCGATTTATGATCAAGTAGCTGAGCTTTGTTTTTCCGATCAAGTGCCTCAACTTTTCAAATGCAGGTTAATGTCCGACTCCCGTTAAGTAAAATGTCATATCTTGTGGTTTTGCTAGCGTGACTTGTTTATTTGGCAAAAGTTAAACTCAATTGGTGACGTGGTGTGTTTACTATGTAAAACTTATGTCATCTTCGTTTAGGTGTCGGGTGATGAGAAGAGAGAGAGACTGCCGACTTGCATAATCTTGGTCGTCCAATATACAGGCCATCATTTGAAAAGGCCAACGTGGACAATTAACGGCTAATTACTAGCGATATTGTCCGATCTGGCATTTTCCATCCGCGATTTTAGCAAAGGTCTCATGTGGACTCATATTCGAAAGTTAAAGTACTTGATTGAAAAAACAAAAAAACAAACAGAGTCTAGGTATTCAGCTATAAAGCGAATAAAAATTCAGATACTTATGGCGTCACTGTCCTATTTTTTTTTTCTATGGTACAGGTCTTACGATATGCTCTTCTAGATAAAAGTAATGCCTTGATTATTTTACTGGGGCCATAATAATTACTTCTTTTTTATTGTGAAAAGCTAGTTATGAGCATAACATTGACAATGGCCACAGGTATGGCAATCTATTGGCAGGAAGAAAAAGGTTTATTTGACAATTCACTTTCCCCAAGAAATTAGGTGGTGCATACCGGTGGTATTGTATGGATGCAATATCTAATTTGCGTATTATTGGGTTTGGATGGCTTTTTATTAACTTTTTTTTTTTTTTTGCATCAACAAGCCAAAACACACGTGAGTTGCACGTGAAGCCACCTTCTTTTATCTTAATTTATAAGTTACTTGAGATTAGAGAGCAATCAAATCATTAATAAAGATGAAATTAATTGCATGGGAACCGAAATAATTTCATGTGACAAAAGGGAAAGAAAACCTAATCAAATGAATATAATGATTTTTATAACATGAAGCTGAAGATAATAAAAGAAGAAGAAGAAATTCTTTTTTTTTTTTTTCAATTTGACTGGCTAATTTTCCTTGTGGTAAATATGTGAATGTTTAATCATCAGTCCTCGATCAATTCTTGTGCTATTATCATTCACAATATGTGGCTAGAGTCGTTTCTTTTGCACGTTGGAAATGGAGACAAGCCTACGATTGGAGACACCATGATCATAAAAGATGGAAATTTACTCAGTTTACATAAAATCGACATCTATTGCAAACAATGCATTTGTGAATGTGTATATATATATGTAAAGACTGAAATAAGATTACACTAAACTTGCATTAATACTTCGAGATCTCGTGCCTCTTGGTGCAATCGGCAACCCTTAGCGAAAGTCTCCTCCAAAAAACAATAATTTCTCCTCCAAACATTTCAAGGCAAGACAAGATATCTCACAGAGCACGATCAAGCTTCGGTTGTTGGTGCAAGATGAGGAGAATCAACGTCGAGGCTGCAGTTGTGTGGTAGACAATGGCGACGACGACGACAAAGGTGGTAATCGGCCGGCCGGTGGTGTGGAGAGAGAGAGAGAGAGAGAGAGAGAGAGAGAGAGAGAGAGAGAGAGAGAGAGAGAGAGAGAGAGAGAGAGAGAGAGAG